CAACTTGGGGGGGGGGGGGAGTGTTATGGAGAGTCAATTATATTATTACTTCTAGGCAGAATAGCCCGACATACATTTTTACTTATTCGACTTTGACATCCCGATCCCCTACTCCACATAGTTTCAATCAGGCACTTGAACTTGTATAAAATATTAGTTTTAAACCCTTCTGACCATTGACCAAGCTTATGTGTCCTTTGTTTTGCTGAGTCAAATAAAATAAGTGATTGCACACTCCTACAAGCGAGTAACTATAAAAACTTTGATTAGAAAATAATAAAAGAGAAGAAAAAAATAACACTAGCCATTATCTCGCCCCTCTCTATCCCATCCTCTTCTTCTTACCCTCCCCCCCTCCCAAATTCCTAGAAAACGCCATTGAAATTGGCACGGCTCTACAACCTCTAATATTAAATTTTGTTTCTCAAGCTGAGTTTTCTCAAACACCATTACATTATTTCTCCTCTAATTTTAGTAATCAACTGGAGCTATGATAAAACATTAGTAGTATAAGACATGCCAAGACCAAACTGATAGAGCTTAGCAGAGCATCTAGTCAAGGAACAAAGTTATTTAATTTTTATTTTTCTCAAAATAACGAAAGAAGACGATGAAGACCCTGGAGAATAAGGGACGGTAAAGCTTGAATCAAGCCAAAAATTGGGTCGTCGTCGACTGCTGACGACGACAAACCTTGATTTTGTTAGTTTTATAAAAAAAATTCGGCTATTGCTGGAGGGGTCATTATGGATTTTGAGGTAGGAAATACTGAGTGAAATTTCTTCTCTTTCTTTTTCAAATTTTTTGGTGCTGCTTCTTTGGTGTTTGGATTGAAAGAAAATTTAAGGATATACTTTCTTAAATTCGGTCGATGTCTGGGTTTTTAAAGGATGACATGAATGTGGAGAGAAAAGGAGAGATAATGGTGGATTTTGAGTGGTTATCGGCGATGGTGGCAGTAGAAACGCCATGGCTGGTTGAATGGATTGTAGTAATGGAGAAAATTCAGGACAAAAAAATGAAGTAGGTTTGATTGAGTGTTTTCAGATGGAAAAGGAAGGGTGGCATTGTGTAGTAGTGGCGGTGGCGGGTGAAAGAGACAGAGATAGAATGGTGGAGAGAGAGCAGGAAGGTTTATTTTTTTATTTTGGAGAAGAAAAGGATGGGTTTGATATTTTTATTAAAAAGTATTTTTTATAAAAATAAATAATGATGTAGCATTAATTTATCTGAGATGGATATGATGTGTCATTTATATTTACGTGAGTGAATAGCATACAATAGCGGAGGTGTTTAAAACTAATATTTTATACAAGTTCAAGTGCATGGTTGAAACTATATAAAGTAGGGGGACCGGGATGTCAAAGTCGAATAAGTAGAGGTGTTCGTCAGGCTATTCTGCCTTATTTCTACCTTGTACTATGTTTCAGCATGTAGTTATATGCAGTTAGTTGTAGTTGTTGTAAAGTTAGTTGTATCTCTAGAAGTATAATAGTTAGCATACGTGTACATATATACACAATACAATAATGAAAAATATTAGAGTTCCATTTTACAATTCATCTCATTATCTCTCCTCTCAGTCATTTTCCTCTCTATCTCAGAACTCTCGAGAATCACCATTGAATCTTCTGAGCAAGCTTCATATTTTCTTCAATGTGTCAATAAATCATGTGCATCCATTCTCTCTCCCTCTATAGGAAAGATATCTTTTATTGGGTGGGTTGGGCCTTTGTACACCTTGGCACAATAATATCAGCCCATTTTAAAAAGGCATGGCATACCCGTAAAATATTCGAAATTCTAGTAACAAACTGCGTGTCCATCAAAAGTTGCAAGTATTTGAAAAGAAAAATAGAATTTTTTCGTTCCTATACAATATTTGAAACTTATTTATCAAAATTGTTCTAATTTTGTATATTACCCGCCCTAAATAAGGATTACTTACAAATCATATACATTCCACCTTAAAAGGCTCCCAATCCATTATTAGTACCTTCAATCAAGGGATTTAGTTACACAATTTTTTTTTCTCTCTTTTCTCCCTTCTTCTCTCCAGAATATTGGGACCAAAGATACTCCCAACAATCTGTACCTTATATTTAGCATCGAGGGATGCTACATAACCTGCCTACAAATTTTTTATAGCTGAAATGAATTTTTTTGCAGGATCAATATCTTTTGGTTTATTGAATAATAAAATTCATATCTTTTGTTTTGTGATTAAATAAATAATATGATTCATCTATAACGAACCTAGTTTAACTGAACTAATGTTATATCAATGAAAATACTGAATTTAAAAATTAGTAGTATAAGACATGACAAGACCAAACTGATAGAGCTTAGCAGAGCATCTAGTCAAGGAACAAAGTTATTTAATTTTTATTTTTCTCAAAATAACGGAAGAAGACAATGAAGACCTTGGAGAATTAAGGGACGGTAAAGCTTGAATCAAGCCAAAAATTGGGTCGTCGTCGAGTGCTGACAACGACGAACCTTGATTTTGTTAGTTTTATAAAAAAAAATCGGCTAATGCTGGAGGGGTCATTAAGGATTTTGAGGTAGGAAATACTGAGTGAAATTTCTTCTCTTTCTTTTTCAAATTTTTTGGTGCTGCTTCTTTGGTGTTTGGATTGAAAGAAAATTTAAGGATATATTTTTTTAAATTCGGTCGATGTCTGGGTTTTTAAAGGATGACATGAATGTGAAGAGAAAAGGAGAGATAATGGTGGATTTTGAGTGGTTATCGGCGATGGTGGCAGCAGAAACGCCATGGCTGGTTGAATGGATTGTAGTAATGGAGAAAAATGAGGACAAAAAAATAAAGTAGGTTTGATTGAGTATTTTCAGATGGAAAAGGAAGGGTGGCATTGTGTAGTAGTGACAGTGGCGGGTGGAAGAGGTAGAGATAGAATGGTGGAGAGAGAGCAAGAAGGTTTGTTTTTTTATTTTGGAGAAGAAAGGGATGGGTTTGATATTTTTATTAAAAAGTATTTTTTATAAAAATAAATAATGATGTGGCATTAATTTATCTGAGATGGATATGATGTGTCATTTATATTTACGTGAGTGAATAACATACAATAGCGGAGGTGTTTAAAACTAATATTTTATACAAGTTCAAGTGCATGGTTGAAACTATATAAAGTAGGGGGACCGGGATGTCAAAGTCGAATAAGTAGAGGTGTTCGTCAGGCTATTCTGCCTTATTTCTACCTTGTACTATGTTTCAGCATGTAGTTATATGCAGTTAGTTATAGTTGTTGTAAAGTTAGTTGTATCTCTAGAAGTATAATAGTTAGCATACGTGTATATATATACACAATATAATAATAAAAAATATTAGAGTTCCATTTTACAATTCATCTCATTCTCTCTCCTCTCAGTCGTTTTCCTCTCTATCTCAGAACTCTCGAGAATCACCATTGAATTTTCTGAGCAAGCTTCATATTTTCTTCAATGTGTCAATAAATCATGTGTATCCATTCTCTCTCTCTCTCTAGGAAAGATATCTTTTTTTGGGTGGGTTGGGCCTTTGTACACCTTGGCACAATAATATCAGCCCATTTTAAAAGGGCATGGCATACCCATAAAACATTCGAAATTCTAGTAACAAACTGCGTGTCCATCAAAAGTTGCAAGTATTTGAAAAGAAAAATAGAATTTTTTCGTTCCTATACAATATCTGAAACTTATTTATCAAAATTATTCTAATTTTGTATATTACCCGCCCTAAATAAGGATTACTTACAAATCATATACATTCCACCTTAAAAGGCTCCCAATCCATTATTAGTACCTTCAATCAAGGGATTTAGTTACATAATTTTTCTTTTTTCTCTCTTTTCTCCCCTCTTCTCTCCAGAATATTGGGACCAAAGATACTCCCAACAGTCTGTACCTTATATTTAGCATCGAGGGATGCTACATAACCTGCCTACAAATTTCTTATAGCTTGAAATGAATTTTTTTGCAGGATCAATATCTTTTGGTTTATTGAATAATAAAATTCATATCTTTTGTTTTGTGATTAAATAAATAATATGATTCATCTATAACGAACCTAGTTTAACTGAACTAATGTTATATCAATGAAAATACTGAATTTTCACCTCTAGGTAAATTGATTGGCACTTTGGACAGGAAGGCAGAGCTAACAATATTTGGCTAGTGACCATATCATTTATGAGAAGTGAGAGCATATTCCAGGAATGAGATATTCTCCGAACATAGATAATGTTTACGTATTTCACCGAAGCCAATCTGATATGAATCTCTTCTAGCTTCCTCCATGTGATATTACGAACCAATAAGGTACATCAACATACAAATTAAAAATAAAATTCGTACAAATTTAATACAAATTTGAATATCTACAACAACTTACATAGAAAAAATAAAATTTATACAACTAATTATATATTATA